GCGGGAGGGGCGTCCACTCCAGTCAGCGGCAGCGGGCGAGGGCCCGCCAGCGACCAGGCCCAAGCAGGGGCCCACGCGAGCCCCAAGGAGACCAGAGCCAGGAGCCCAGGAGGAGGAGGAGGAGGAGGAGGAGGAGGAGGAGGAGGAGGAGGAGGAGGAGGAGGAAGAGGAGGAGGAGGAGGAGGAGGAGGAGGAAGAGGAGGAGGAGGAGGAGGAGGAGGAAGCGACCACGACCAGACAAGAGCCGCCACGACCCCGCTGACTGGCGCAGACCCCCCCCCCCGCGACCTCCTCACGACTCGAAGTCGGCCCCGCACATGTGCTGGAGCCACACCTCGAAGCTGAAGCGGTCCACGCCCCTGAGGTCGAATTCCGCCTGGAGGGCCGCGAAGTCGTCATCAGACGGTCCGCAGGGCCTTCTGCACCAGGACGGGGTCATGTCGCGCGGGTCTTTCTCAGAGGCGAGGGCCGCCCCAGCTGCAGCATCTGCAGGCTCACCAGGCAGCCCATCCCCTCCCTGAGTTTCTCCAGCTGCAGCGCCTGCAGGCTTATCAGGATGCTCACCTCCGCCGTGCACGTCCTCCTCCATGTCGCCGTCGCACTCGCTGACGATGGACCCAGAGCTCTTGCCCTTCTTCTGATTATTCTTCTTCACCTTTTGTTTTGTTGCCTCACCGATGAATAATTCCTGCACGCCACCAGCGTCACGAACTCCACCAGGGCCCCCTTGTAGATCTTGTCCTCCTTCACCCTGAGTGATCATCGCCTCGACAGCCGTCGCCGAGTCCAAGGCAGTGACCCTCTCGACCATCTCCTGGTTGAGATCGCCGCCATTAGAGCCTATGTGGAACCGCTGGGCGTCGCCGACGCTGCCACCGCCTACCAATTGCGAGTCGAGCGATTCGGCCGAGCCCAGGTCCCCCAGCGCTCCGAACTGGTTCCGCTGCTGCTCCTCCTCCTCCTGCGGCGGGGTAGCGTCCTGCCCTCCGCCTCCGACTGCAGCCTGCACTTCGCCCTTTTCTTCACCTTCACCTTCTTCCTGCTGTCCTTCAGCTTCTCCGAGCCGCTTAACTCCAGCTTCCTGTAGCCGACGTTCACGGCCTCGGAGGTCTCCCAGTTGATCGTGAGCAAAGCTTTGAGCATTGTTTGGATCTCCAGGTCTTTGGCCTTGTACTTAATCTTCTCGGGCCCTCCGAGGAAGCATCCCGCTGCCAGATTCCACGACCTCCGTCCTTCATCTCCTTGGCCTCCAACTCCTCGGCCGACTCCGAAGCACGGAGGATCCACCCCTTCAGCGGGTCGTAGAAGATGCCCTCCTCCCTGCAGGCTGCCAACACACGAGCTTGGTTGGAAGGCCGTCGGATCGGCGACCGCACTCTCGTGGCGCCGTTCTCCCTGAGCACCGCCATGTGCGCCCTGTCGTCCTTGATGCCCGTCTTGAGGGCCGCCGCCTTGCTCCGCGCCATCGCAGAGAACGACCTGAAGGAGAAAGTCCCGAGACGCGCCAATCCCGATGTTCTTGAACAGCTGCCCGATCGTGAACCCCGCGTCAGGGCTGGACCTAAACGATGTGTTTGTCGGACTTCGGCTGTGTGCTGTTTTTCGTTTTTGCAGGGAGGTACAGGAAAACAGGTAGATCGGTATCGTTTAACCGATCCCCATCCCCATCCCCATCCCCATCCCCTTCGAGACCCTCCCCAAATTACCCCCCCAGTTAGGGAGATGCCCTTCGAAACCCGAAGGGAACGGCCCATATCCCCATCTAGGGGAGTTAATCGGCCAGTGGGGCCCAGGCCACGCTGCTGGGGATGGGGATCGGTCGAACGAATCGGTCAAACGATACCCAGTAGAACAAAACGAGAAACAACGTTTACGTCCAGCACTGCCCCGCGTGGTCACAGCCTGTAGGGGGACTTTGCACAGCTCTCCATCGGGGGCCCACGGCCCGACGGACAAAGACAAGCCCTGCCCCCTTTGCCTGAAAAGAAATACGCGCTGGGCGTGTGAGAGCACAGTGCTTGCCCAAGCGCGTGCCCCATGCACGTTCGATGTCCACCCCGGCCGGCCTTCATGCAGGCCTCGGAGCAAACATAGCGAACACTCGTGTCACACTCATATGTCAACGCCTCCCCCTCCCCCCAGAGTTCAAGGTTGGCGGTGGGTCTGATGAGTTGCACCTCGACCGCAGCCTCCCCCGAGCGTGCCCACTTTTGAGCTTTGGGGGGAGGGTGGAGTGCTCAGTGATTGTTTCCCTCCACCGGACGGCGCGCTGACACCTGCCGCCGACGGCCGCCGAACGAATGTCGACCGACCGACGCGCGCGCCGGACGACAAGGCAGCCACGTGCCGACGCCGCCCCACCGCGGGCCCCAGCGGCCCTCCTGCCGAGTGGCCGACGAGCACCGCTGGCACCTCCCAGCAGGGCCACCAGGCTCTAGGCCTCCTAGGTCGGGGTAGATGGAGTCGAAGGATCGCTGATGCATCGCCGATGCGGCGCGATCCTTGGAGGGGAGGGGGAGTGTTCAGTACCCGGTTCCCTCCACCGTATTGCACCTCTTTTGCACCTCTCGCGGAGAGAAGCCCAGCGGCAGGGAGTGGCGGTCGAGGAGGCGAAGGGGGGGAGGCAGGGGGCGGGGGGGGGGAGGCGGCACGCGGCCTGCGCGCAGGTTGCGCAGGCCGGGCCTACAGATGGCACGCTGGATCACATGCCAGACGCCCGTAGCCCCCTTGGCGCCTACACTCGAGGCCTCCTGGGCGGGGTCGGAGCAGACGGGATCGGAGGATCGCGCCGCATCGCCGATGCTGAGCCGATGCTGAGCCGGATTTGCTTCACGTCGACGTCGCCGATACATGGCCCACGTCGACGATGCATCGCCGGTGCATCGCCGATGCATCGTCGATGCATCGCGGATGTACCTCGACTGGACGGAAGAGTGACCTTTCGCCGGAGTGACCTCTGGTGCGGGCCCACTGGTGTCCTCCGATCGCCGCATGCGATGCGGCAGTGGTGTCTTTCGCGCTCGTGTTTGGTCCCCCCCGCGGCCCCCCCAAAAAGCCGCGCACCAAAGGTTATTACTCTTACCTGGGGTCACTCTTGCGTGTAGTCCAGTACCCCCCTTTGCGCCTCCACACATGAGAAAACGCCAACTTCATGCCGAGGCGCATGCTAGATTCAGGAGGGGAAAAAACACACAGACACAATTAATCGTCGATCCCCAGGAAAATATTGGAAAATATGGGAAGTGGTGGGGAAGACAAAAACCCCAAAAATATGGGAAAATATGGGGAATCCTTTTATTTGTGTGTATTTATTTGTGGGCCCCAGTTTGCCTTATTTTTGGGGCGACGAGATCTATGCATATCCACTGCTCCTGGCCAGGCCCATCCTGGGCCCAGGAGCGGTGTATATGCCTCCCTGGCCAAGCCAGGAGGGCGTATACACAGCTCTTGGGCCCAGGATTGGCCTGGCCAGGAGCAGTGGATATGCATAGATCTCATCGCCCTATATTTGGCAAAGGACGTGCAAGGTGAGTGTGGCAGCAAGGTGCATGTCAAAGCACGTGCCCCATACATGCTCGATATCCCCCCGCTAGACGCGCCAGGTGCATGTGAGAACAAAGCGTTTATCAACACACGTGCCCCCATGCAGGTCCGATACTTCCCCCCCCTGGCGTACAGATAGCACGTTGAATCAGGTGCCAGTTGCATGTGTGATTATCTCCTTTGCTATAGCCTTTTGGCGCTTACCCCTTCCCACAAGTATTTTTACCGTTGGCATCCAGCTTGTCCACGGCCTTGGGCCAAAGAGAACCTTGGGCATGACTCCGTGCTGGAAACACGACGTACCAGATAAATGCGAAAGCACCGTGTTTGTCAAAACGCGTCCCCCGCGCATGTTTGTCCCACTCTGGTCTACATTTTGAGCGTTGAATCCCGTACCAGGCGCATGTTCGATACCCTCTTGGCGCCTACAATATGCGTGAAAACGCGTGTCAAATGAGCACGTGCCGAACGCATGTTTGGAATAGCCTCTCTGAGCATCATTTTTACATGTCCAGAATCCAGCAGCCGCATGTTCGGCATTCTCAATTGGCACCTACACTTGTGAAAACGCGTGCCGCATACACGCGCAGGTGCATGTTGGACACTCCCTTGGCGCACCCCCTTCGCATGCGTAATTATGTTTCACGCGCGAAACTTCTGACGACCAATCCTCCGCGCACCCACTTCACGCGCGAGAGCCCCGAGCCTTCGCAGTGACATGGGTAAAGGAGACCGGTAAATGCAAGCAGCGTGCAGCTTGCGGCACGTGTCGGTGCAAGACTAGAATTCCGATCACAAGCAAATCTAGAACCACGTTCACAAATAAACGTGAGCATGTAGAAGCCAGAAAGTAAGTTGTGAAACAGGCAGTGTGGGAAAAGCAATGCGTTACATGCAGAGGCACTACAATCACAATTCCAGCGCAGGCCATCAAAATAGCGAAGGCGGTGGCAACGACAACTAACATGTCAGAGGCAAGGGCGATGCTGAGGAAGCAAGCGCCACAGGAAAGCATCAAGAAATTATGTGCGAATTGCACAAGCATAGGCATGCAACATTGGCATCTAAGCGGATGCTTAGCAGGGCCTCGAGGTGGGGAGCAGTTTTGATTGGACATGCCGCAAGTGTGTCTTGCGCCTTTCGGCTCCGAATTTCGTCTTTCCTAGCGTGTCGCTTAACTTGCTTACGGCGGTTTCGAAGAGAGCCTCGTTTCGGTCATTGTCGCTTTTGTGGCAGAGCTGCGGTATGAGTGAGGGGGGGCAAATGTAAAACAGAGAAAGAGAGAGAGGGAGAGGTAATAAAAACATAAGGAGAGAACAGGAGAGTGAGAGAGAGAGAGAGCCGAGATCCGAGAGGCGTGTTGCTGTGTGTCGTCGGACCTCGTCCAGGCTGCGCACACAGGCACCCGATCCGTCGCCTACACAAATGGGAGGAGGGGGAGGAGGAGAAAGAGCGAGGACGGACGCGCTGAAGCTGTGCGATTTCGGCTCCGCGAAGCGGCTGCTGAAGGGCGAGTGCGCCTCCTAGCAGCCTTCCTGCCGCTCCCCCGTGGAGGGCGACGAGGAGGTTGAGTTTGGAGGGTACTACCCATCCTCTCCCATCCCCTCTGCCCTTTTCTTTTGTGCCGTTCCATGCCCCCCACACACACCTGTCCACTCCTGTCCCCCATTCTCCCATCCTTCCTTCCCCTTCCCACCCCGCTTCCCCTATGCCGTCCCATTCCCCCCTCCCCCTCCACCCTCCCTCCCCCCCCCTCCCTCCCTCCCCCGCCCTTCCACTTCGAGTTCCCCTCCCAACCCCCTCCCCCTGTGCCGCCCCGTGTCCTTCCCCAGACTCCTTTCTCCAGTCCCGTCCCACCCCCCTTCCTTGTAGTCCGCTTGCCGCTTGCCATCTCCCGCCCCTCTCCATGCTGCCCATCCCCGCCTCCTTCATCGCCCTCCTCCTGCCCTTCCCGTCTGCCTCCAACGGTCCAGAACCCAGTTGTCGGCAAGCCGCGTCGCGCGCGTGGCCTTACAGTCTGTCCGAGAGGGGTGCGATTATAGTTGCACAGATAATTCGGCGTTGCTGCTTCACTGCTTCCGCGCTCCGTCCCGATTGACGGGGCGAGAGGCCCTGCGAGTCGCTTGGTCACATTTGATATTGCTCGTGCGTTCTCCCAACCTCCCTCGTCGTCCCTCTTCCCCTCCCATCATGCGCCTTCCTCTCCCGCGCTGGAGATCGATTTTCAGGTTGGCACGCCCAAACACGCACCCACTCGGTAAATAACATAACGCCTCCCGCCCCACCCACCACCGTTGCCACATCGCACGCTGCTTAGCACAACTGGATGTTGGATGGGTCGTGGTCAGTGACTGCACGCGTTGCCGTGCGGATGCCTGCGCGCGTGTGCACACGCAGCCTTGCGGTGCACACATACTCGCGGTGTGCACAAACGCGTGGTACACACGGGCCCGCCGCGGTGTATTTCGACAGGCTTCGTTGTGTTCGTGTGTTCCGTACACTTGCCGCGTGTTTGCCATGTGCGCAGGGGTGCGTTCGTGGTGTGCACAGGCATTCATTTTGTGGCGGTCGCAGGCTACTGCAGTACCCGTGCCATCACTCGTTTGAGCTAACATGTGGTAGTCGCAGGGGTACCATGGAATTGGCAGAGTTTGGCATCCCTCTTTGTGTAGTGGTCGCAGGCGCTTCTGTGTGTTCACAGGCATAGGGTGATTTGGGGAGCCTATCGTGTGCTCGCGGGCATGTTGATGGTACCTGTGGGCATAGTATGCCGCTGACACAGGCTGTGCACATAGCCATTGTGATATGTGTTTACTTTGTTGCGATGGTCGCAGGCGTAAATGGCTCTCGCATAGGACTACATGCTTCCTGGAGGAGGAGGAGGAGGAAGAGGAGGAGGAGGAGGAGGACACTAACATAATCTGGTGGCCTTCGACACATTCCGCCACCGTGCCGTGAGGATCTCCTGGGAGGCATCTCGGAGGCCTCTTAGAGGCGATTTTGATATGACTTTGGGGGGACCTCCCGGGGGCCTCTGGTGTACTCGGGGGCTTGATTTGGGCCCTCGCAGCAGTGGCAAGGGGGGCGGGGGAGGAACTGGAAAAGTCCAACTTCCCTCGCCATGTGGTGGTCGCAATCAGTTCCTCGTGCCGGTCTCGTTGTTGAGCGCCCGGGCTAATCTTCTGTTCGGGTGCACACTGCTGGTCCATGGTCGAAGACATTGGTGAAGTTATCAGTTTTGCATTCTGCTGTTCCTACGTCAGACGTTTACATGCAGTTGTGCTTATGCCCGGTCCAGCTTCACTCGCCGCATGGCGGTCGCAAGCACGTTGTGGTGTTTTTGGGCGCGTCGCGATGTTCGAAGACCACCGCGCCGCTCACTAGCGCCGCGCTGATGTCAGCAAGCCCATGTGGGCGTTCGCGAGCTCTTGTGGCACTGGCGAGCTTATTGCTGCAGTTGCAGCAGCAGCGCGACTATCATCAGCAGTAGATGTGGCAGCTTGTCGTTCATGAGTGCACCTCGCCGAGGGCCTCGCGAATTCCCCTCCGGTGGTGTGGTCCGCTGTGGTCGAAGACAGGGGTCCCCTGTGTACCACCACCATGTTTGGCATTGGCCATCCTGGGCCCTAGGATGAAGTGTGGGCCAATCTGGCATCGGCAAGGAGGGGCGCATGCAGCATACCAGGGCCCAGGGCGGCCTGGGCCAGGCATTATGGTGGCGTGCGAGTGCAATCTTTATATTGAAGGGCTGCCATAGAAGGGTGGAAATGGGAGGGGAGGAGGGAAGGGACGGAACCATCCAGTATGTAGTACCTCGCGATGTCCCGCAGGCATGCGTAATCTTGTGCTGCCCCACCCTTGCACAGTGCCCGATTTTGGTCTGACGCCAGGGCCTGTGCGCGAGAAGGTCTGGTCGGCGGCAAGCTCGGGGGGGAAGACGAATTTCCCGAAGATCTGGGAAACATGTTAGCCAGCGTGGACCCAAACAGTGGGTTCTTGCAGTTTGCGCAGTGCAATTTATGTGGTGCAATTGACTACCCTGCACCGCGCTTGACCACCTCCACTGCTCGCGCAAACATCCCACCCACCCACCCGCAACTTGGTTTGCAAAATCTCTTAAGACCGTGACGGTGGGTACCAAATGGCACTTGGCAACGACAGCGACGCCGACGACGACAGCGACAACGACGACGACGCCGCCGACAACGACTACGACGACACCGACGACGTCCCCAACGACTTCGACGACGCCGACAACGACGACGACGACACCGGCGACGACGACGACGACGCCGACGCCGACGACGACGACGACGATGACAACGACGACGACGATGACGACGCAGACGACGACGACAGCGACGACACCGACGACGACGACGACGTCAACGACGCCGACGACGACGACGACGAGGACGACGGCGGCGACGACGACGACGCCGACGTCGACGACGAAGACGGCGACGACGCCGTCGCCAACGACGACGACGAAGACGACGACGACGACATCGCCAACGAAGACGACGACGAGGGAGGAGGGAGGACGACTACGGCGACAACGACGACAACGACGACGACGACGAGGGAGGAGGGAAGACGACGACGACGACCACGACGACGACGACGACGACGACGGCGACGAAATAGGAGGGACGACGACGAGACGCCGACGACGGACGACGACGACGAGGGAGGAGGAGGAAGGACGACCACGGCGACAACGACGACAGAAACGACCACGACGCCAAAGAGGACGACGACGATGAACACGAGGAACGACAGAGGACGACGTAGGCGACGACGACGACGACGCGGGAGGAGGGAAGACGGCGATGACGACGACGACGACGCATAAGCGCGCGCACGCTTTTGTTGAAAATCCGTGTTGCGAAACGTTGTGTTTTTGTAGCTCTTTTTTGGACACACGATTTTGAAATCCGTTCGAAGCCGATGGGTTTTGAAGGATTTCGGCATACGCGCGCGACGATGCGCGCGTGTGCACTTCGCCCCATTTTTTTGCAGAGGATTCTCGCGACGGCACACGCGCAAGGGCGTTCGACAGATTTCGACATGCGCACGCGCGAAGCCTGTTTGGTAGCAATTTGTGAAAATCTTGAAAACCTACGGCCTTCGTAAGTTTTCGCAAGAGCTCGCGCGTAAGCTTCTTTAGCAAATCAGTGTTGCGAAACCATGTGTTTTTGTTTGTGTTTTGGAACCTCGATGGCGAAATCCTTCCGACACCGAAAGTTTTTGGAGGATTTCGGCATGCGCGCACGACGGCGCGCGAGAGTGCACTTCGTCATATTTGTTGCAAGGGATTCGCGGGAAAGTCTTATGCTAGAACAAAAGATGTCCCCGCGTATCGTTTTTTACAAGAGAACCTCGGGGGGGACGATACCGGCTCCCCTGGGATGATGTATATCCATATTTCGGATGGACATGTGGTCAGAATCATATATGGCTCACATGCCCGAAAGGGGGGGCCGATAACGCTTGGGGGGTAGAGTTTTGTTATTTTTTCTTTAAAAAAAATGCTCAATTTGAAGCTGTCCTCTCCATTGCTCGTGCAAACATCCCACCCACCCGCAACTTGGTCGCAAGACCTCTTAAGACCGTGACGGTGGGTACCAAATGGCACTTGGCAACGACACCGACGCCGACGACGACAGCGACAACGACGAAGACGACGACGCCGTCCACAACGACTACGACGACGACGACGACGACGACACCGACGACGACAATGACGACGACTCCAACGCCGACGACGACGACGATGCCGACGACGACGACGACGACGACGACGGAGGAGGGAGGGCGGCGACGACGCGAACGACGAAGAAGGAGGGAGCACGGCGACGCCGACCACAACGACGAGGGAGGAGCGAAGACGACGACGACGACGACGACGGCGGCGACGAAATTGCAGGGACGACGACGAGACGCCCACGAAGACGACGAGGGAGGAAGGACGACCACGGCGACAACGACGATGGAAGCGACGACGACGCCAAGACGACGACGAGGAAAGACAGAGGACGACGACGACGACGACGAGGGAGGAGGGCAGACGGCGACGACGACGACAACGACGCAAGAGCGCGCGCGCACGCTTGTGTTGAAAATCCGTGTTGCGAGCCCTTATGGTTTTGTATGGTGTTTCGGCACCCGAGTTTGAAATCCTTCCGAATCCTACGGTTTTTGAAGGATTTCGGCATGCGCGCGCGACGACGCGCGCGGTGCACTTCTTACCATTTGTTGTAGATGGTTTTTGCGATTGCACGCGCGCAAGGGCGTTCGAATGATTTCGACATGCGCGCGCGCTAAGCCCGTTTGGTAGTATGTTTTGAACTGGTCGAACACCCTATGGTTTTCTTAAGGTTTCGCAGTGGGATCGTGCGTAAGCTTTTTGGGGACAGCAGTAATGCGAACCCCTGCGTGTTTGTATCATTGTTGGAAACTCGATTCTGCAACCCTTCCGAAACGCAAGGTTTTTGGAGGAGTTCGGCATGCG